GGCCCCCGCCCCTAGCAACGCGGGCTTGTGTTGACGACCGGCCTGGGATCCTGAGCCTCGCGGTCCAGTGGGATCCGCCCACGCCATGCGCACCGTTTCGCGGCGGCAAAGGCCACGGCTAGACCCTTCCAGGCCTCTAGCGACACCAGCGGCTCTCCGGCTGCCTTCCCTGTTTGGTGGTGGCCTTTAGCCCCCGACGGCCGCGCCCGCTGGGGAGGCCGCGGCGATGGACGAAGGCCAGGATCGCAGCTTCAGGAACAAGTCCAGCAGCCCCCGCCGCGTTCCGGTGGTCGCCGTGGTGACTGAGGACGAAGAGACGCAGGTGTGGACAGGGGTCTGTGCCATGGGGGCGTGCAGAGGGGTGAGGCCTGGGTGCAGAGACTCGGTCCCAAGGCCGCCAAGGTGGAAATGAGGACCCGAGTGAGGACGGGGGACCCCTCGGGACAGAGGTTCTGGGCGGGAGCCGATCCTCTGGGAGCCGCCGCTTGCCTCGGGTGCTGCTGTCGTCAACAGCCCCTCTGGGGACGCCTGCCCTGCGATCCGCTTGGAGCGTCCGGCTAACCTTTCAAAAAGTGTGAAGGAGGTGAGGGGAGGAATCACTCCCAGTGAAGTTTGGCCTCGTAGCCACATCGCTTTGTTTGCACTGGGATTTCATGCGGATCCAGGTTTTCAAGTGATATTCTTGACATAAAGGTGAATTCTACCGCACTTAAATTGGCTGCTACTGACGCCTACCCTCAGAATAGAGTAAAATCATGTCGACACTAGAAAGTAGGAATAGATTTCATAATAAATTATAAGTCGGAGAAAATTGGGAGAGAGAATAGATTTGTTTTATTGTATTTGGTTTGGGGTTCACTTTTGCTATGTCTACTTCTATTATGAATACAAAACTAGCTGATAGGGGGCCGGGGATTTAGCCCAGTGGTTCCACCGCCCCCTTGCAAGAAGCGCAAGGACCTGAGTTCGATTCCCAGTACAAAAAAAAAAAAAAAAAAAAAAACACAAAACAAAAACTAGTTGGGTTCAAAAACTTTTGCTTGGCCTTGCATGGGTCTGCGTTGGTGGCGATGTTTAGAAACCCCAAATCCTTCTCTTCATACTAGGGTTTCATTGGTCCCCAGAGAGACAAGATTGTGCTTAAAATCACGATTCCTAAGGAGGAACTCTACCCTGTCACACTCTAATGGAGTGGGGCCACTCTGGGAATTCCCGTTGAGGCTTCACAATTCTCAGGCTGCGTCAGGAACCGCGACTCCTGAGTTCGCATCCTGCGGCCTGGGAGAGTGCCTCTGGAGCGGCCAGCTGACTGGGGACCTCCTCTGTGGGAGTTGGGTTGAGCTCTCTGAGGAAAGTCAGACATTTGCACAAAACCTGCGCAGCAGCAGCGCTTGTGTGTGAGCACAGTAAGTGCCGGGGGAACCTCATCCGTCCTGCGGAGGTATTCCAAGCCGGGTGGGAAGGTCCTCGAGCAGACATAGCTGTCCACTGTGAAGGCCACAGGGAAGGCCAGCAGTCCACGATAGTCCTGGGCTCGCAGCAAAACCGAAACGTAGGTGACATTTGCTAAATGGCTCTGATTTTTCCATTACTAGATGTAAGAAAAGCTGGGCAAAGTTATATGAGGCAGGCAAGCACAGTTAACCTAGAGAAAAAAAGGAAAAACACTTTTCAGCGGGCCATTGCAGGAATAGTTGATAACATAGAAAGTCGTACAACAGAGGAAGTATATTTGTGATGTATGTCTGTGTTTTTCTCTTCTCCTTTTGATTTCTCTTCTTTCATTACTACCTCTCCTTCCAGGGTCTGAAATTCTCTTCTAGGAAAAAATGATAATAACTTGCATTAATTCTTGTTCCTGCCTCTACTACTAGGATTAGCTCCATTTTAAAAAACATTGTGGAAAAAAATCAGTTTCTGTCCAACGAAATGAAATAGGGTGGGAATGTTTTAGATCTGGGTGCAACCTGTTGATCACTCAACCTTCTTATTTTTATTGTTTTGTTTTTGTGATTGCTTTTACAACTGAAGCCATTAAGGTACCTAGAAATTAATGGACAGATAAGGTTTCTTTACTCATAGAGTTTTACTGTTCCTAATAGTAAGGGGTTAATAACCTTCTAGACTTCTGCATCAGGTCAGTTAAGGAAAAACCTATGGAATTCTAAACATCTGCTGTCCTTTCGAACCGGTCCACCTTTACAACTTGTCCATTTCAGTAGCTAAAAGTAAGGTGAAGTCCACTTCGGTGTTTTACTCCACCACTTAGCTGTGTGGACAAAAGCAACTGTGTCCTGAATCAGTGGAGATAATAATCATACTGATGTCCATTGAAAAGATTAAATGAAAAAAATGAGAACCAAGACCTGTCATATAAAGGTACAAGATCCCAATAATGAATGTAGCTGTACTGTATACCTAGAATGTACCAATAAACTCAATGAGAGAGAAAAAAAGATTAAATAAAATAATAGAGAACTTATACAGTGACCTATATCGTATAGTGAAAACATATAGCTTATCTATATGTTAATATCCACTATCCAGGAAGATAGAGGTCCTAAAATTATTTTTACACTAAAGCTAATGGATTATCTAGAATTATAAAGTGACAGCTGGAAATTTCCTAACATAGAAATGCCACTCTGGATATCTATGTTTTTGATAGCTGTTTTGTATAATTTTCCTTTTTACAGACCTAAATTGAACCACTTTAGTGACCATAAACTAAGTTTATGTAGTTCAAGAAATAGGCTTGAATGCTGTTGTCTAAGGCAATGCATAAATAAACTCGGGTTATTTTGTACATTTTTAATGCATGCTTCACTTCTGTTTTAAATAGTGTTATGGTTGGATCTGGGATGCCCGCCTCCCAGACTTGCTCCCCTAAGGCACATCAATCCTTTATGAAAGCAAGCGATTTTGTGTTTTTCACTGCCATTATTATAAGCACTTCAAACAATGCCTGACACAGTGTAGGTACCCAACAAATATTTGTAGAATAAATAGACGATTAAAATCTTATATACCTCAAATCTTCAATTATCACTTTAATCTCATGATTCAGAAAATTGTGCTCCAAATTTAATTAATTTCCGACTCCATCACAAACCTCTTCCCCAGCCTTCCCTGTCGCCGTGAATGGCAGACCATTCATGTGATTCCTCAGGCCGGGCAATCCTCCTACCTTTTTCTTTCTTCCACTGCATCCAGTCACTCGTTAGCTCCTGCTCCTTCGAACTGCTTGATTTTTTAACCGCATCTGCTGTTGTCTGTACCAGTTGCCAAAACTGTATCCAAGATTGAAGTTGCAGACTGGTCTACTGCCTCTGGTCTAGTCCTCTCCGGTTTAGTATTCACACAATGGACAAAATGATCTTTTTATCATTACACTCTGCTGATTAAATCTTGTGGATAGAGGAGAACACAGACCCCTGAAGGATTGTTATAGGGAGGGTGTCACCCACCGTCACTTGCTTTTGGCAGACTCAGAGGCAGCCAAGGAAGATTAATAGTGGGAGAAAGAGACACGTTGTGTTCTGACTAGAATCTTTTTGGTTGTTTGACTTTCTCGGATTGGTCCTGAGTTTGGAAGCAAGGAATACAAAAGAATGGGGAAGCTGATAGTTGTTGACCAAATATTGACTTCTTGGGGCCAGTTGCTGTGTAGGCTGTGACTTGACTTCCCATGTTGGCTGCTGCAGAGGTTGTGGGCCATCATACGTAGTCTGGCCATTGTCCATTTATATTTTTAGTCTCTCTAGCTATTTCTTCAGTGGTTTTGTAAGATCTTCAGTATGAGATAAGGCCTTTTGTAAAGTTTCATTTCATACTGACACACACTTGAGGTCAGAGAAATGTGCTCCCCGTACCTAGCACATTTCTGGAAACAGAACCTGCTAATAAGTACTTGCAGAAGCAGCAAAGGGCAAAGGAAGATACAGGGGAGGGGAGGAAGAACTCTTTAAAAATATGCCAAGCTGATAACACATAGATCAATATAAAATGATAATGCAAGACAACTCTCAAAGGAACCTGTTTTAATCCTCACTATTGTTTCTTATCAAAACTTCTATCTGTTCATTGGGGGGAGATCTGATAATACAGGTAGGTATTAAAAAGAAAATCCTGCATTTAGATTTCATTTCAATATAATTGTCTAACTCTTAAAAATAAACATTGCAGAAAATAATAAAATGAAAATCCACTGTATATGTGTTTATAATCTTGGAATACAGAAGGAAAAGAGAAAAGACAACTGATGCTATTGGCACAAAAACAGACATATGGATCAATCGAACAAAATAGAAGATGCAGAAACACTCAGCTGTCTAATCTTTGACACAGGCCAAAAACCATATGTTGGAGGAAAGACAGCCTCTAGCAAATGGTGCTGGGAAAACTGGCTTTTGATATGCAAAAGATTGAATCTAGACCTATCTATATCTCTTATAATGTACTCAGCTAAAATCAAAATGTATCAAAGATCTAAATGTTAAACCAAAAGCTCTTAATCTGCTGGAAGATAAAATAGGTAAAACCCTTAGAAACATAGGCGTAAGCAAAGACTTTCTGAACAGAACCTTAATTGTACAAGAAATAACATTAAGAATCAACAAATGGATTTATATTAAATTTAAAAGTTTCTGTACAGTAAAGGAAACAACCAACAAAGTGAAGAGACAGCCTACAGATTGGAAATTATTTTTTCACCAAAAATACCTTAGAGAACTAATACCTAGAATATATAAAAACTAAAAACATTAGACCCCCCCCAATTAAAGATGCAATAAAAATGGGCAACTAAAAGGAATGGTACAAATGGCCAATAAATACATGAAAAAATGTTCAGCATCTCTGGCCATTAGAGAAATGCCAATTAAAACAACGCTGAGATGCCATCTTACTCCAGAAAGAAAGGCTGTCATCAAGAACTCAAATAATAACAAATCCTGGTGAGGCTGTGGTAGAAAAGGAGCCCTTCTTCATTGTTTGTAGTTGTAAACCAGTACAATCACTATGGAAATCATTATGGAGATGCCTAAAAAAGCTAAAAATCGAAATTCCATTTGACCCAGCTATTCCTCATCTAGGTATCTTTGCAAAATAGTTAAAGACATCATATTACAGTGACTCATGCGAAGTCATGTTTATAGCAGAACAACACATAATAGCTCAAGCTTGGAACTGGAATTGAGCTATTATATTAACAGATGCATCCATAAAGAAACTGTGGTACTCTGCTGAAAGAAGGGTAAGTTTGATTTATTTATAGTAAAATGAATTCACCTTGAGACCATAATGTTAAGTGTAATACATCAGACACACAAGCTTAAATATTGCAGTTTCTCTTATATGAGAAATTCAAAGTATGAATAAAGAGCAAAGCAAAACATAATAGGCATCAGGGAGATAGATCTTCTGAAAAAGGGAAAGGCACCAAGAAATGGTGAAGATGAAAAAAGAATTAAAATGTATTATGCACATGTACCAGCTCTCCATGATGAATGTAATCGCTGTGTACTGCAAACATAGACTAATAAATAAAGAAAAACAGAAAAGACCACTGAGGCAGTGGCACTATTGAATCTCCAAATCATAAAAGGCAAAATTCTGTTTAACAGTAATATATAACAGTGATAATATAATGCCAAGTATAGACATATGTTTAGTATTTCTTTTATTATTATTAAAGTTTTTGGTAAATGACCTCAATCTGATACTTATTCTATATGATTAAAGTTATAAAGCTGGGTGTGGTGGCACACGCCTATATTCCCAGCACTCAGGAGGCTGAGGCAGGAGGATTGCTGTGAGTTCAAGACCAGCCTGGGCTACATAGTGAGTTCCAAGTCATTCTCAACTATATAGTGAGACCCTGTCACAAAAAAATAAAACAAAGCAAAAAGTTATAATTGTTTAATTGAAAAATTTTGAAAGAAATTTCTTAATATGAGAATATATGAGTTTGTAATTGCAAAAGGCAAGGGAATTATAAACTTTGTGTGAACTGTGATAAAGCCAATGTAGGAATATGAGAACGTGTAAATAAATTATAGATATACTGTAGATTTAAAGCACAGGAAATGCAGTGGTAGTATTGACATTAAGTAAAATATAGGTTTGTACATATAAACAAAAGCAGAAAATACATAAGGTAGATATATAGATAGTAAGAATAAGGGTTTTTTCAGTTTTGAATATTTTATATCATTATAACACCATCTTTACAAAGTCATTTGAAAGTAGACATACTTGTGAAAGCAGGGCCCGAAAAGGGAAATTAGAACAGCTTAATTCCTACACTGGGACTGAGCCACATTAACGTAACATTTGAACAAAAGAAAATGCAACTCAATAAAGACTTAATCTTCCCCATAAACATAGGCAAAATTGCATTTAAAATTCAGAGATTTTTATATTCTCATAAATACTTAAACTGGAAGAAGCGCCTCCTGTTCCCTTGCCATGTATCCACAAGTAACTTTGCAAGGAAATGACTTCCTGGTCGTATGTTCTCAGACCCAGTGCGCCAGAGATGCCAGAACCAAAAGCCTGTGCCCCCAGGCAAACTCAGGGAAGGGACAATGGGGAATAAGTACGGAGCGCCTTTCAGAACAACTCAACAGAAATCACGACGCGCATGTTTGGGGGCTGTGGGAGCACAGAGGAAAGGTGTTGTTAGCCTTCTCGTCCCTTCGGGAGGTACATCTGAGCCTCATCTCTGAGTTCCTGTGGGAACTCACCGGGGAGAGGACTGGGATGGCAACGCCTACGTGTACAACAGAGGAGCTCAAGCATTGGTCGGCGGTCATTGAATGCTTGGGTGGGTGGAGCTCAGATTTGAGTTTTATTATTTTAGCCATGGAGGACAGTTCTGAAGGGTGCAAGAGGAGAAGCAGGGACAGCAAGTGAGCACCAGCACTCAGTAACACACGAGAACTGAACTGAGTCACGGGATGTGCTCACGAAGTACTTGAGGTGTGAAATCTGAGACTCTGAACGTTTGTGTTGTCTAACGCAGGTGACCAGAGGATGCTGTTGCCGTGTGATAAACCTGCCCAGGCCAGCGTGGTCTAATGTGTCCACGTGTAGGATACTGTATGGTTCTCCTTTCCACAGCGCAGGAGTGCGTTATTCCACATGCTCTCTTGGATCCTCTTAGGGCTGTTTAAATTTAAAAACATTAGGATTTCAAGATAATACTAGAATTCAGGAGGGTGTTTCTTTTCTCCAAAATTCATTCACCTTCCTATAAGGTCTCATCTGTTTTGCATTCTCCTCTATATTACTGTTATAGGTATTTTTAAATTACTGAGCAAAAATATACAAATAATACGCTTGCTATGAAGGCTTTAATTCTCATGATCTAGAATACCAAACGTTTTATGTTTATAGGGTGTTTTCAAGCCTATGGACCTTAATCACGTCATCCAACTCCTTGAAGAAAATGATAAAGTAAGTAAGCGTTGAGAACAAAGGTAAGGAGCATCCACCCAAGGGTAAGTCTCATTTGTCTCTTTTTGTGGAAAACATTTGAATGGTGTACTCCCTTTTGTTGTTGTTTTCCCTGGAGATTAAAGCCAGAGCCTCCTACAAGCACTTTAATACTGAGCTACACCTATCGCCCTTTTCAGAATTTTGAGACAGGGTCTCCCTACGTTGCCAGGCTGACTCCAAATTTGTGAGCCTCCTCATTCAGCTGCTGCCCAGCCACCATGCCTGCTCTCAAAACAGAGGATGTATCTCAAAGTCAAGAACCGTTGAAGTTTAACATGAATATGTTTAACCATAGAGGGAGGCTAACGGAGTTGCTTTTATGAGTGGACAAATCCTTGGTGGCTATGAACAGAAGGATCCCTAAGATTGCACAAAAGGTCATTTAAGCTCTGTTCATTGCTTGTTGTCAAGTAGGATTGGAGGAGGGAGCGGGGAGGAAAAGGAGTTTCCCATCCTACCAATACAAATTTCCTGAGGTGAAATCAGGGCATATACACAGTTGCACACATGCACAGTAATTTATTTTGAGAGAAATCTTTACAGAATATAATGGAAATAAAATTATTTCAGACACAAGCTCAAAACTGACAGCTTAGTTATCAAGAAAAAAGACGGTAAATGTATGTTTATACATGTTTGCACACCATACTCTTCCGAGACCCAAGCACTGACTTAATGCCTAAAAACCAGCACAAACTATAAAGTTATATGTAAACTTTTCCAAAGATTTAACGTTCTTAACACATAGAAAATGGGTTGACCATACTACAGCTATAAAAACAAAACTGTCCAATGACTTTTTTTTTTCTAATTATTTTTTTTTTTTTTTTTTTTTTTTTTTTTTTTTTTTTTCCTTTCTGGTACCAGGGTTTGAGCTTGGGACCTTGTACTTGTGAGGCAGGTGGCAGCACCACTGAGCTAAATCCCTGGCCATGTCCAATGAATGCTAAGCACAAAATTTAGTCATTGTTTTTCTCTAGTCTCTACTTTCTTAAATAGAAGAAACATAAAAATAATTACTAAGCTTAATTTATTTTTCCTGAATGTGATTTTGTGAAACTTGATTTTTAAATTGTGAATGTATCTGAATTTCCTTAAAAAATAAAACTCAACTACAAAGAGCTTCTGTTAGCTGTTATATAACGCAGAGGGAGGATAAAGTACAGATAATACCTCAGCTTTTCACAGATGGTTTTACAAGCTTTAAAAGAATAGAGGGATTCAGTCTTGAAAACATATCCTGGTCTAGAGGTTTAACTTTTTTTAAAAAATTAACTATGAATGCTTGGTTTCCACAGTATACTTGGGCATATTTTAGAGGCTAAATATACAGATTTATCAAAACTGACTCCTAATATCCCACTTTTTAGCATGTGTATTTGGACAAATAAAGTATTTCAGTTGTGTTTCTTATTCTTGAAAAGAGGGCTAATAATATCCTGGTAATAAAGTCATTTTGAAGATAAATTGATTGATATTATGTATAGCGCCTATGTAGTGCAGGAAATAGTTACTCCTTATATATTAACCTAATTTAAAATTTTAATTTCCGAGTCAAATTTGAATGGTAGTAGTTTGTTAATCTTCATTATTTAAAGAAACATTTTTAATGCTTATAGTAAGTTAAGAATAGGGCCCAGGATCTAGCTCAGTGGTTTTGCCACCTGCCTCATAAGCGAAAGGACCTGAGTTCAATCCCCAGTACCAAAAAATAAAAATAAAATAAAATAACAGGATGATTTTATTTATTTTATTTTATTTTTCTCTCATTGAGTTTATTGGTACATTTAGGTATACAGTACAGTTACATTCATCATGGGATCTTGTACCTTTACATGACAGGACTTGGTTCTCATTTTTCCCCCTTTTCCCTGCCCTTCACCCCCTCCTACCCTCCCCATTTATAAACAGTTTATTTCCATTTTTTCATTTTCTCATATTTTTTTCTTTTCCTTTATTACCTTTCCCCTACCCTTCCCATTTTCCCTACACATTTAGCCCTTTTCTTCCTATTTCACATTGTCAGTTATCTCATTACGATCTTGTGTACTATTATAGTTTTTCACACCAGAGAAACTATTCAGTATTTACACATGTGTGACTTAAATATTTTTCACTTAGGAGTATATCCTCAATATGTATCCATTTTCCTATGAATGAATCTAATTTCGCATTCTTTATGGCTGAGTAGTATTCCATTTTATAGAAAAACCACATCTTCCACTTTCTTTTCATATTGAAAAAAAATTTTAAACTTTCAGAAAATTTAATAGAACTAAATAGAACATTTATTTTAGGATGATTTAGAAGAAAAACAACTTAAATCTGTCAAGAAACTGGTGCAGTGTTATCAGAATGGACTTGTATCCTTTCTACGTGCATGTATATTTGTTTTATTTATCGTTAAACAGGAGATTTGAAATGTTTTGGTTTCCTATTGCTGCTGTAGTAAATTATTACAAATTTAGTGGCTTAAAAGAGTACACATGTATTATCTTACAGGTCTGGAGATGAGACGTCTGGAGTCAGTCTCATTCTGCCAAAGTCAGAATACTGGCGGGGCTGGGTCCTTCCACTATAGTTTCTTTTTTTTAAATTAATTTTATTGGTACATTTAATGTATATAATATAATGCCATTCATTGTTGGAATGTGAGGCCTTTATATAATCAATCTTGGTTCTCATTTTTTCCCATTCTCTCCCTTCAACCCCTCCCTCCCTTTCTATTTACAAAGACTTTGTTTCCATTTTTCATTTTCTCACATTAATTCTATTTCCTTCTTTCTTTTCCCCTACCCCTCCCATTTCCCCTTCCTTTTTGTCCCTTTTCTTCCACTCCAGTTTTAAATGAAATAAAATCCAAACCAACTTAAACCCTGGCTATTAAAAATGCATGAGTTGGGCTGGGGATTTAGCTCAGGGGTGCAGTCGCCTGTGAAAAAAAAAAAAAAAAAAAAAAAAAGCATGAGTTAAATATTAATAAAGAAATGCAGTAAAGAAAAGTTTGGGCTGCTTGTTACAGGGCAGTACTGTATGTTTGTGTGCATGTAGATGGGAATGAAAGATATAATTGAGTCAATTGCTAAGGTAATTTTAATGTTTTTATTCATTGCTAATACTAAGTTATTGATAAACCAAGTACATAGTGTAATAGTTGGTAATCCAATTGTAAAGTTGTGAGAAGGAAACATTTTGCATATAGTGGAGACAAAAATTAAATTCGTATTGCCAAAAATATAGTTCTGAGTTTTTCTCTTTAGACTTCAAAATAAGAATAGTTAGAACAATATCTACATTTAACAAAAGAGATGGAATTCTGTAGACTTTCTTTTAAAAAGTTCTATAAAGAGCATGATAATTGAGATATTAAAGTTAATAATATTTCTTAACTGAAAATACCCAAGCCATTAAGAGATTTAGCAAAAATATTTAAAATTCTGAATCTGTGCGCAGCAAAAATTGAAAACCAGCACCAGTTTGTAGAATCTGTATATGATATCCTAAAATTGTGTAGGTAAGTGCTTATAACTTTATTTTGCATTAGCGTGTAGTATTTTATAATGTCTTACTTTTTATTACAATGTATTAGACATTCTGCTGTAGCAGAGAGATAAAGAACTCAGAAAATTTGTTTCATCACCTGATTGAAGCATTTGGCAAATGTAATCATTTTTTAAGTAGTCTGAGACTGCTAAACATAAGAGCTTGAAGTACAAGTATATAAAATGTTTTCTTGAAATTAGCTGCTTTTAGAAGTAGCCATCTTTAGAAAATTTGGCTCTCAAAAATATATTAATACTTTATTTGATTTTCCAATTTTGAGTGAGGAGCAAAATACCATCATTTGTGTTTGGTATATATTTTTAAACATAAAGTAGTTATTTTAAAATATAAAGTACCGAAAGGTAAAGCATTATAAATTTAATATGTCATCCTTTTTCTACTGTTTCTTCACTCTGGGGGAACTAAATGTATATAATGCTTCTTTGCTGCCACCTAGTGGCTAATCTAGATGTACACATCAAACTATCCAGTTTTAATTGTTGAATATAGTATAGTACAGGAAATTTCTTAAAAGTGAGAGAAAACTAATTGGAAATCTTTATTTTATCATTATGAGATTATATAATGTACAATATTTTGAAATTTCAAGGCCATGCAAGTCCCAGAATACCAAGTTCATAAGCATTTCTTGCATTATCAGTATTCCTGTAGAGCTCTGTCCAGAAGCATTTCTCTAAAACGTTGGCTAAATGTTTTATTGCATAATATGACAAAGTTTTGAAACTGTACTCTTCAGTTTCCCCAGTTTTATAATTATTTTACTTTTTTCCTATTTTACTAATTTTTGCTTATGTCCTATATTTCTGTACATCCTTACTTGGTTCTCTTTTCAAAACATTTTGGGAGACAAAAGCATTGAAAGTATATTTTTCTCACAACATTGAAAATGTATGATTAATTTTTTTCCATAATCTTTTAGGCTGAAAACACTTCTAATGCTTTATTTGATACAAAAAGTTGGGGTGGGCTTAGGATTTAGCTCAGTGGCACTGCACCTACCTCACAAGCTCAAGGTACTGAGTTCAATCCCCAGTACCAAAAAATGAAAAGAATTGGGGACCAGAAGTAAAAGTTTTAGTTATTTTGGAGATCCAGCAATCAGCTCGTTAACAAGTGGTTATTTAGTCCAAATGATAATTCTTACAAATAATGGAAATAAACCTCTGTGGAATTTGTAAAATTGACCTTTTTTTTTAAATATCTTTAAATTCATAATGACTTATATATTCGACATCCACATATGATAGTTCTCAATGCCATGCTTCAACTACATGATTACATTTTTAAAAACATGAATTAGAAGTCCCAAATATAGGATATGTGCATTTTGGATTTATAAAATGCCAAAATAATTTATATTTGTATGTAACACATAACGTTTATCTCTCCTTTGAAATTTAAACTAATGACTCAGGATTATGCGCTAAATTTTGTATGGTTTTTACGTAAGTTATTTTCAAGTTACAGTAACTAGGAAATGCAAGTCTAATATAATTAATATTTGTTAACTGAATTCCTTATTGTTCCTCCAAACATTCTGTTCTTTTGTGAATAGTAGTAATCCAGTTAATGAGGAAAAGGACCCTAGCCTTAAAAATAAATAGAACATTGATCTATTAACTAGAGTTTCAGAAACAGAAAGTATCTATAAACTGTTTTCAAGTTATAGGTGAGCTTAAATCTCTGGCTTGTATCAGAGTATCTAATGTTTTCCTGAGTTTGAAGGAATTACAGCTATAATTCATTATTACTTTGCCTTCAGAAGGAAAGAAGATTCTTAAGATTTGTATTCACACTGTGAGGCAAAATTACTTTCTTAGCTCATTCCTTTTAAATCCTTTTCATTTTAAAAGACCTTTTATTTTCTTTCTGGTCAGTTAAGTACAAATACAGTTATTTTATAGTTCTCAGTTCTCCAGAGCTAAAGAATAGAACATTATCGTCATTTTATTCTTTAGAAAGGAAATCTCCCCCACTTTACAAATGATACTTCAATTAAAAACTTCACTTACAATTACTCTGACTTTCTTCATTCTTATTGAAGCTTGCCATTTTTGAAAAAAAAAGTATCGGATGAAATAACTTATGCTGAAGATACTGCTAACTCAGTTGCACTTCTGGGTAAGTTACGCTTTCTTCAAGGTAGATGGGTGTAGGTGTAACATGTGACAGGGCCGATTGACAAAGAGGAGATGTCTGCTTTCACTAAGTCTCACTAAAAGCGTCCCCTCTGCATGTCTAGGCTTTTCTCTGATTTTGCATTTGGAAATAAATTACAGTGTGCTTTATTCTGGTATTGCAGATATTTCACGATACCAACAAAATTCTGTGTTCCTTAAGTGCAAGAACTAGCAGATTAGTCCTTGTGCTTAATTGATGTTCTTTAGATTGGTGAAATATCTGTGAATTTTTTTTAGTCGGAAAGTATATGCCCCCATGTTCCAGTAACCATGGTTTCAGCTTTGAATTCTTATAAATTGCTAGAATCATTGAGGACCTCATTGTTTGTTAAATAATCTAAGGTTTTTAAATAAAAATCATAAAATGAAACATTAAGAACTTTAAAATACACATAAAGATGCAGGTATCATATTTTATACACAAAAATATGAAGAATCATAAAAATGTAGGCATTTATAGCTGCTTGATATTATTACACTGTTATATACCAGAGATATTGATATCTACTAATATTGTTAGTGCTTGAGTTTCTAGAAAGGGAAAATAATTCCCTAGGAAATGAGACCAATAAAACAGTGGCTCTTGGGCTGGGGATTTGCCTCTCAAGAGCAAGGTCCTGAATTTGATCCCCGGTACAAAAAAAAAAAAAAAGTCCCAGAGATCTGATAGCATTTTCCCAAAATAAATCCTACATCCAAATTATACTTGCTAATTTAGGCATTCATTTGTAAAGGAGAAATAAGAGATACATGATTGACCCAATGAATCGTTTAAAAGGTGATTGCACAAAATAGAGAGTAAGTGAAAGTGCCGTTTACATTAACGTAAACTTAAGTTATTAAAAAAAAAAGACACCAAGAAGCAGGCAGATTAAGAAATAATGGGAAATTTTAATACTGCAAATCTGTCATTCATGGAAACATTACAAGGAGAAGCCAACCCAAAAAAGGACATGGTAGTATTAAGAGGTAAAAAGTATAATGTTTTTGGCAATATTGTTTTTAAAATGTCTGTGTTGCTCTCCTTATCTTAAGATATTGCCTCCAAAAGTATTGGCAGACATTTATAGGGTAAATACACACCCATCTGTTATTGTGAACCTACTCTCTTGAATGACTGTCTGCTAACGAAACACTACTATTTGAGGGCAGCACGAACGCCTAGCTTATTATGCTCTCCTTTTACTGATTGCTTCCTGTAAACACCACTCATATGTCCCTTTTTTTAATTCTTGGAAGCACGAGTTTAAATTAAAATGCTTGTATGTCATGTGAAGTATTGAACAAAAGCTATTTATGACTATTGCTGATAACTTCCAGTTCCTGCTATGTACTAGTAAGTTATGATTTCTTCTAAATTATATGTAGACATTTGTGATTCATGACCAGGATTCCAGAAATGTGGAACAGAAGTTGGCACTCTGCCCGACGATAGTAGAACAGGAAGCTGTAAGAAAAGATTGAAACTTACAGGAACTAAGAGGGTAGAGAAGCAGATGAGAATCCCAGAATCCCCATAAACGTGCATGTTTAGCTAGTTTTGTTCGAAAAGTTCAATTGCTCTTGTCACCTAAAGCTTTCTAAAACCTAAGCAGTGATTTTCTGACTCCAAAAGAAGCATCCAGAGAAATATAACTGGGAGAATGGCCTTTATTTTTAAGTGACATCTTTTCCACATTCTCCTTAATCAAGCGTGAGGCTTTCCTTTGTGCGCCCTCCTTTTCTTCTTGTTTCCTCACCAATGATTGCTCCTAGAGATGAACATTACCAAGGCCTAAGACAAAACTCAGATCTTAAGGGAGGCCGTCTCAGTCTTTTGCTTGCAGAGAACCCAACCAGATTGGACTTAATCCTAGCACTAGTACTACTGAGTCGTGTTGTCCTCAGGCATCCAGAGGACCCAGGTCATTTGCAGAGCTCCACAGAATATCTTCACATTCCCTGGAGGATCATCCCTGAAAATTAATCTAGCTTCACTTACTGTGCAGGCTAAAGTTCGGTAGTGGTTCAGATATGACTGAAAAGGAACCCTCCCTATTCTCCAACCCCACCCCAGTAATTTGAACTAACACGATTTCTTGTAAGGCAAAGACTTCTGGACATTCTGTCTTCTGGCTTCCAACAAATTGAGGAGGGAACCTCACTTGGAACTTTAGGGATATGCTGCATTATTAATTTCAACCGATTGCTGACTTGGCAACTCGAAAGAAAAGTGCTAGCCTGTGTCTTGAAAACAGTAGCTAATGCAGGTAGCACTTACTAGATATGCTAGATATATACTAGATGCCATTCTCAGCCTTTTCTTCATCATGCTAACTCATTTGATCCTCAGGACCTCAAATGTACTGTAGTTATATTGTTACGCTCTCCTTATAGATGAGAGAAATAAGCCAAGTCTACACAGATAAAAAGTGTAGTAGAGCCAGACTTTCATCTTAGCCTGGTTCCACCACTTATGTTTTCAATCATCATCCTGATCTGATGAATTGAATGAGGGGCCAAATATATAAAGATAAACTCAAGTTGTTGTATCTGTGGTATGTTTGCATACATAGTCATGCGGCACATCACTGCTTTTCAGTCAATAACAGACCACATATATGTATACGATGGGGGTCCCATAACATTAAAATTTAGCAAAAAATTCTGTCACCTAATGACAGCATAAGTCACCTAATGATAGCCATACCACGAGTCATTACTCACATACTTGTGACAATGCTGGTATAAACAAACCTTCTGCACTGCAAATTGCATAAAAGCATAGTGCACACTTGTACGATTATGTAAGTGCGCACTCAATAATGAACACCCATATCATGAGTTTATGCACTTACTATGGTTTATCATTTGACGTACACTCTTTCTTCTTAATAACGAAAAGCTAACTATAATGCAGATACCATGTCATGCCAGGAGCGGCCTTCTACATCTGGCGTTGACCATGGCTCCTGATTGCGTGGCTTTCTCTTGCACTTGATTCAATCTTATGTTTGCCTACACTCACCTGACAGTGTAATTGCCCGGCAGCCCATCCTCAGAATGTATCCCATCATTAAGTGATGTGTGACCATGAGCACGTGTGCCTGTGTGAAAACTACGGGATCCCGTTTGAATCTCACAGGAGAATTTTCTCATAATTGCAATACTTTGTGCTTAATTTTGCAAAGAATCTTACAGCAGTGTTATTACATGGCATTCGTTTGTCCTCCTGGCAGGTGACTTAATGAAAATACCGAGCTCTGAATTGAGGATACAAATTTGTAAGTGTATTGTCAACTTTTATCATGCAGAGCCACCAAAGAAGTACATTCCAGGTGAAGTCTCAATGGTGTTTCAGGGAAACCTTATCCCTTCCCTACCCTCTGAACTGGAAGGACTCAAAGGGCTCACAAACGCAACACACTAAAAACTTCTGGATAATTTTTTGTAGAATTGACTTTAGTCATCTATTAAAACTTGATAAGTATCTTTTTTCAGTTTGGGAGTTTGCATGAGTTTTTATTCTGATGCCAGACATTTGTTACACAATTAATGAATTCACATGTAAATAAGCTTGTAATTATTAATAATGTTACCTAAACTTTCTAATTATTAATTTTTCTCACATATTTAAGACCTAATCCATAACCGCCCAGTTAGATGATAAATTTCTAATCCTAGACCATTCTCATCATGTTTGGGAAAAGAGCTCTATATGTTACAACTAAAGGATCTTAATATACAGTGGCAAAATGAACTACACTGAAATGGGCAATATGAAGTCAGAAGTCATTTACACTGTGAGAGTATAATATTATTTAAGACACGCTTCTTACCTTTGCAAAGTATAATTTATAATCAATCTAGGAAGGGAGAGAAGATATAAATAGTAGTTAAATGATATATTCTTTAATAATATAATAAAGAGATTATTAAATGTCATATATGAAATGTCAATCAGGTAGTCAGATGGAAATATTTGGTAGGTAGTAAACATGCTACTAAAAGGAACAGGAACCCTTCACAGAATAGAAGGGAAACTGTAGCCATAAGTAGTTGAGTTTGTGAGAAGATAAAGCATATAAACAGCAAGGGACCAAGAATGACATCAAAGAGAGTGCCCCTACTGAGATTTGGAAAAAATGATCCAATGCAATTGGCAATGAAGGCAGGTTCAAAAAGGCAGAAGCACATCTGAAGACTAGCACGTCTTCTGTGCCAGTGCGTGAAATGTTTGATGAAGAAAGAGGTGGTCGAAGTGTCTGGTGCTGCAGAAGCCTCTGTAAAAGAGGAAGGAAAGATCAAGTTCATGTGTTATCTGAAAGTCTGTAACTAACTCATCTTTGACAGGTCTATTGACATAAAGTAGTCACATCAGATGCAGGGCAAAAGATGAGAAAACAAGTTTGACAGGGAGGGAGTAGAGCTAGTTCATGAATACGAAGTTGTATTTTAAGGTCAAATTGTAAAGAAGCCTGATGGAAAATAGCTGAACTGGTAGCAAAGTCAAAGAACAGTTGTTTAGGTGTTGTTGTTTTTAGGATGGAGAAATAAAATTTTTAGGCAAAGGAGCTAGAATTTAGTAAGGGGGAAAGGAGAGGGCAGAATTCTAAAAAAAAAAAAAAAAAAAAA